ATTGTGTGTACCTAACTTGATGTTACTCTCTACTGTCTTGCTTTTTCTTATCCTGTGGTTTGGTGCTGCCTGCCTTTTCATGGTTAAGTTGGGTGTCACTTTCTGTGTGCAGGATCCCTTGCAGAATCTTTTGTAATGGTGGCTTTGTGGTCACATATTGTTTTAGTTTCTGCTTATCATGGAAGACTTTTATTGCTCCATCTATTTTGAATGATAGCTTTGCTGGGTAGAGTATCCTGGGGTTGAAGTTATTTTCATTCAGTGTCCGGAAGATCTCACCCCACGCTCTTCTTGCTTTTAACGTTTCAGTTGAGAAGTCTGCTGTGATTTTGATGGGTTTACCTTTGTATGTTACTTGTTTTTTCTCTCTTGCAGCCTTCAATATTCTTTCCTTAGTTTCTGAACTTGTTGTTTTAATGATGATATGTCGTGGAGTAGTTCTATTTTGATCTGGTCTGTTTGGTGTCCTGGAGGCCTCTTGCATTGATTTTACTAATTTGATTCTGTTTTTTCCTCTTACTCTTGCTAAAGGTTTTTCAAATTTGTTAATCTTTTTGAAGAATCAGTTTTGAATTTTTCAATTTTCTGTGTTATTCTAGTCTCTATTTTGTTTATTTGTGCCCTATTCTATTTTTTCCTTCTTTCTTTAAGCTTTGGGTTTAGTTTTTTATTTTTCTAGTTCTTAAAGTTAGGTGATTGATTTCAGATCTTTTTTTAAGTGCTTATAGCTACGAATTTCCCTCTTAGTACTGTTTTTTTGGCATCCTATAAATTTTGATATGTCATGTTTTTCCTTTCATTTGTGTTTATTTTTTAAATTTCCCTGTGATTTCTTCTTTGATCCTTTGGTTAAGAATGTGTTGTTTAATTTCCATAAATTTGTGAATTTTCCATTTACTGATTTCTATCTTTTTCTTATTTTGGTATTAGAGAAGATGCTTTATATAAATATTGTTTAAAATCTATTGACAATTTGTAGTCAAATATATTGTCTTTCCCAAAGAGTACCCTATGTATGTTTGAGAAGAATGTGTATTCTGTTGTTGGGTACAGTGTTGTGTATGTATCTGTTACTTGGCTTTATTGTATTTAAATGTTCTTTCTTCTGCCTGATTTTTCTGTCCTTATTGATAGTAGGGTATTGAGGTCTCCAACTACTATTATAAAACTGTTTTTTCTCTTAATTCTACCAAATTTTACTTTTTATGTTCTGTTATTAGGTGTGTAAATATTTCTAATCACAATATTTCTTGCTCTTTTGAATCTTTTATTAATATATCTTATACTTTGACTTTGATAGCCTTTTTTGAATTTTTTTTCTTTTTGCTTTAAGATCTATTTTGTCTGATATTACTATAGACATTCCTGCTTTCTTGGTTACTAATTTGCAAGAATATATTTTTCCATCCTTTCACTTTGAACTTATTTATGCCTTTGGATCTAAAGTCAGTATCTTGCAGACTGTATAAAGTTGGATCATGTTTCATTATCCATTCTAGCAATCTCTGTCTTTTAATTGGTGAATTTCATTCTTTTAAGTTAAAGTAGTTACTGATAAGGAGGGACTTAATGCTGTTTTAGAACTGTTTGCTGTGTGTGTTATTGCTTTTTTATTTCCCATATACGTCAATTTTTATTGGGATAATAGTGAGAGCTGATGGGTTATGGGACTCCCTCCAATCCCCCTTTTTTCTTTTTCTTTTTTTTAGGCCATAGGTTAGAGGCAGAATGTTTCAAGTAAGAATTTTAATTTTATCTATCACCAGTATAGACTTAGAAAATTTGGCATTTAAGTGTAAAAATAGATGGCTAACTTCTGGGTTGGGGGAAAAGTTATTTTAGATATTTAGTTGAAGAGTAATTAGATCTGATCATCAAACAATAAGACCCTATTTATTTGTAGAGAAATTAAAATGTTACATACCAAAACAAATTAAACCTTTTACATGTATCTGAACATCTTTTACGGAGTAATGTGTGAGCCATCCAATCTTGTTTATTTTTATTGAGCATACATGGTCAGGAAAGATTTTAGGATGTAAGCTTTTTATGCTTTACTTTTTAAAATAGAATAATGGCAACAATAAATTTGTGTGCAGATTGGGCTAAAACATTCATAACATCACTGAATGTTCCACGAGTAAAGAAACGATGAAAATCTATACCTTAATATAATCATTTAGACAAGGTTAATATAACATAAACCATAATCCAATATATATGTTTATCTTTTAATTTGGATGCTAAGCTGAGGTAATAGTCTCTGTAGGGAATGTTAATCCTTTTGCCTTTAAACTGCAGGTACTATTTACCTTCTTCCATTGAAATGTCTCGCTTTTTCCTTTAATCATGTTACCAAGGTTATGGACATCATCTTTGGCATGTTCATATTAAATACTCAGGATTTGCAGCTTTCCATTACATTGACATAGCCAGTATGGAGGAATAGTAGTTTCCTTTGAATGTGTTTTCCAAAAGTGGTTTCCTTTTAGATCGTGAAACCTTTGTCAAAAGATGATGCCTTTTCAGTGTTCTTGTTTCCCTGACCTCCCTTGTGGAGCCATCTACCTAGATTTTCTTCAACTACATTCTTTCCCTAGTTGCCCACACTCACTCCAATAAGAGCAATTCTAGTATTTAAGAGTAAAGTTGTCATTGTTCATTAGAGTAATGTCTCACAGAAGTTTCGAACAGTGGAAACTTTTTGCCTAATGATATTTTGCAGGGAGATCCATTTGTAAAAAGATGAGAGTAAAACAGTGAAGTTGTTCTGCAAGGAAAGTTAAAGGAACTCTTTCCTCAGATGGTATTTAAATGATTTAGATTGGACTTTTGAGTGGTGAGCTGTGTATGTTCCTTGCATTTTTTTTTCTAGCAGATTGTCTAACTTAAAAAAAAATGTAGAACTGGGCATGGTGGTGTGTACGGTGTGTACCTGTAGATTCTCTGAGGCTACTCTGAGGCAGGAGGATCATGTAAGCCCAGGAGTTCAAGACCATCTGGGCAACATAGGGAAGACTCTATCTTGGTGGGAAGTTTAAAAAGCATGCATATTTGAAATGTTTATATTTGTAGAGTATACAGGTGTTAATTTTAGCATCAGTTATTTCTTCTGAAGTTTTTTTGTTTTTGCAGAATGAAATTAGGACAGCAAGTATATGAAATATCTGATTGTGTGGTGCATGTGTGCATGTTTAGGTGTGTTTTAATGCTGTGACTGATTAGCTTAATTTCAGTTTTAAGTCAGTGAGAACAGTTTCAGTTTTTAGATTCGGTGTGCTCTGGAACTAGATGTTACTGAAAATGATCAGAATAACCTCAAAAATTCAGAGGATTAAAAATTTGTCTTATTTTTGCACTATAGTAGACAAAACTGCTTGCTTTTTCTTAAGTATAGGCTACCTAGAGCAGGTTGATACTGCTTTATGATTTTCTGCCAATAAGATCAAATTTCCGCATTTAATTCCAATAATAGCCACCATTAAATATATAAAAGTCAACTCCTTTCTCATTAGGAAATGCTTAAGCAAAGTGTAAAAGTTCCAATTTCTCCACTTGTTATTATTTTTTTCTTTTTATTACAATCATTCTCATAGTTGTAAAGCATTTCATTGCAGGCTAAGCTTTAAAATAGAGGCTAGGCATAAAAGATGGAGTTAATATTCCAGTTAGTGTTTAATTGGCTGACCTAAGAATGTAACCATTAGTAGCAGATCTTAACCTTGGCTATGCATGTCACTTCCTAATTAAAAAATAGTGCAGCTTTTTTATTTCTGATAGATAAATAACTCAGATCTCCAAAGAGCTAGGTGGGTCTGTAATTTTGCTTTTGTGACAAAGGTCATTGTAGTCCCTCAGGGGAAACAGGCACTGTGGCAGAATAAATTCAAGCCTTAATTTAGGAATGGTTGAATTATGAAAGTTTCCACAGAGACTTTTTAAATGCAGTTTTATTGAAATATAACTTACATACCATACAATATAGTGATATAAAGTATGCCTTTAGTATATTCAGAGTTATAGAGCCATCACCAGGGACAATTTTAGACTTATTTATTACCCCCAATATAAATCCCACCCCTCTTAGCCATTATCTTGCAACCTCCTTGACTCCTATTTTTGAATGCAACCACTAACTTACTTCCTGTTTCTATAGCTTTACTTATTTTGTATGTTTCATATGAACTGGGCCTAACTAGTGTATTCAAGGTTCATTCTGGATAGCCTGTGTGTACTCAGTACTTCATCCTTTATTGTCAGTGAATAATGTGCATTTGGATCATCTCCACTTTTTGATTATTATGAATAATAATATGAACATTCATGCAAGCTTTTGTGTGGACAAAAGTTTTAAATTTTGGGGGTTATATACCTAGTAGTGAAATAGCTTAGTTATATAGCAACTGTATGGTCAGCCTTTTGAGTTGCTGCTAGACTATTTCCAAAGCAGCTGTACTATTTTACATTCCTATCAGCAAAGTGTAAAAGTTTCAGTTTCTCTACCTGTTGTTATCTTTTTTATTACAACCATTCTCATAGTTGTAAAGTATTAAACTATAAAAAATAGTTGACATCACAGCTTTATGTCATCTCTGAGGATATTCTTCCTTGCTTAAATAACTTATTTAAAAAGAAACCAGAGAAGATTTAGTTGTAGAGAAAGAATCCATTCTATCCTAACCAGAGGAGGCTTACTGTGGACAAATTAATTAAGACTTGTTGGAATGTATCAGTTTGGGTTATCTCATCAGAGGCACTCTTGCTGCAGAACTGCCTGGGCTCTTGGTGAAGCTGTATATGCTGCAGGAGCCTGAGAGCAGAGAAACTATCCTTGTTTCAGGAGTGGGGCCCTGGAGATGCTTTGCCTGTTATCACCAAGTGAATGACCTGGAACCAGGAAGTTAAATCCTTTTCCTTGTAGTGTTTTTCCAATGCCCTCTACTGAAAAAGCTTAATATGCCAATGGGAAAAGAAAAAAAATTTAAGAGCCAAGAAAAATGATGAATTTGGAGATAAGAGGCAATAAATCAATATCTGGCACAGGTATTAAGTGGCTTGCAGCATTGTTAGGAGAGCTGAAGAAAGATTGTAGGTTGAACTTTAAGGAACAACACCCAAAAATCTTAGCACAGAACGAGGAAACAGAGAATTATCTGTCATGATTAAGAAGCTTCCTGCTTAATTGTGAAATTGCTTCTAGAGCATTGTTTCTGAAACCACACTGTTATTTCACAATTAGAAAACTGTTGAGGTCAGGAGGCTATTGTGATCAGGAACCTCCTGCTAAATGTACTTATTAGCTGTGGACCAATGCTCTGGTCTGCATCAGCTCTGCTTATTTGTGACTAGACCAGACCCTCTCAATCTTTGTACTCTGGAGGAAACATGAAATAACATGCAAGCCTCTTGTCTTTTTCAAAATAGCCGCTCTAGCAGGTGTGAGGCAATGTCGTGGTTTGCTCTTCCCTGGTAAGTGATGTTGTGTACCTTTTCATAAACCTGTTGGCTATTTTTATGTCTTTTTTGGAGAGGTGGGGGAAGCATTCCATCCTTCTCCCATGCAGTGCAGCCTCCAGTTATCAGGGTTACCTCCAACCAAAGGAGCACAGTCCTACTGGTACTATGGCTGATTTCTAACAAAACTGTTCCGGTGGGTGCTCATGTACTGCGAATACTGCCATTGCTTGTTGTATAAAAGTTAAAAAAAAAAAAAGCTTAAAAACATTTAAAACTGTGATCTCTTAAAGAACCTTAGTAGCATATTGTGGATCCACCTTGGACTTGACTCTGGGTGTCTGCATATACTGCTGTAGACAACTAAACATGTTTACTTACATCTGTGCTTGTGTGTGGAGCTAGGTATCCTTTGCCTGACTTTCCATCTTCTAAGTCTCTCACAAATTAATGAACTCAAATAACACCAGAAACTTCAGCTGTAGGGAAGTCTGGCATATACATATATTTAACTTTTAAGCTTCTGAAATAACAGGCACTCCAGGGGAACTTAGGATAGATATTATGTGCAATATACTATATTTACCATATTATTGGATTTTCAAAACTGAAGATTTTCTTAATCATTTGTGTAAGTAAAATTTTCTTAAAAGAAAACTTTAAAACATTGGTTTGTTATTCAAATATTTATTTAGTACCTGCCATGTGTTGGCACTGTTCTAGGTGTTTGAGAGGCATTTAGTGACCAAAGCAAAGATCTTAAATTCTAGAACTTAAATTTAAACTTAAATTTAAGAACTTAAATTCTAGTGGAGAGAGATAATGAACAATATACATTGTTAAATACTTAATCTAGTTTACAGAGTGATTAAAAGTCAATTAGGGACCACTGAAATATTAGATATCATATCATGTGACTTCTTACCTGGTTACATTAAGATCCTTGGATTTCTACCACTTTTTTCTTATAACCTTGAGGAAATAAAGGAATTGATTATGGTTGCATTTGTAGTCATTGGTAGTGATAAGCTGCTAAAGATCTGGGGTGAATTAGATTGCAAGATTTATGTAGTATGATGACACATGTACTGAACACTTGCAGATTTACAAGAAGAAACTGATTTTGTTCCTTAAAAGTTGATTTTGACATGTCTTCATAAAGACATCACTTAGGAATAACAATTTTCAAAATCATCCTATTCCATTTGACTGCTACAACAAAATTCCCTAAACTGGGTAATGTAATAAACAGTGGAAGTTTTTACTGACAATACTGGAGGCTGGGAAGTCTAAGATCGAAAAACTGGCAGATTATGTATTTGGTTGAGGGCTCATTATATGGTTCATGGATCTCCCATGGTAGAAGAGGCAAGCTAGCTTTCAGGGTTTCTTCTATAAGGATACTAATTACTACTTTAAGGGCTCCACTTTTATAACCTAATTATCTTCCAAAGGCCCTTCCCCCAATACTATCACCTTGGTGGTTAAGATATCATCACATCAGTTTTGAAGGAACACTAGCATCCACAGCATGGGAAAAATATTCAGGTATTTTTTAATTATCCTAAATGAGACAGCAATAAGTATTCTGGAAGAAGGCAAAGGAGGCAAGGGCGATGGGTTTTCTAGGGTCTAGATGTGGCTTATAGTATTAAATGGGATCCTTGCAATAGGCTCTATTGAAAAGGTCATTTTTGAGCAAAAAAGAGAAAGACAGAATTAGTGATTAGGATATCTGGCAGAACACATTCCAGGCCAAAGGAATAGCTTGAGCAAAGGCACTAAGGCGAGACTGACCCTGGCATGTTGGAGGAAAGCCAAGAAGCTCAACCAAACATGCTGACAAAATGAGTGAGCCAGTGGAGTTGTAGATAGGGGCTGAAATCAGGTTGGTAATGACTAGGGGTATTCTCTTAGGGCTCTTGGTGCCAGTGAAATAGACAGCATTGCAGCTTTTGAGCTGTGTGATGAAGAACTTTCCACCTATGGTTGTTTTTTTTCCAAGGTTTTTTTTTTTTTTTTTGGTGGTACTGGGGATTGAACTCAGAGCCTCAAGCTTACCAGACAGGCGCTCTACCACTTGAGCCACTCTGCCATCCCTCTTCAAGATTTTAAAAGGATTGTTCAGAATGTTGTGTTGAGAATAAACAATGGGGGATGGAGTATGGTGGGGCAAAGTGAGAGGAAAGACTAGTGATAATGGTGACATGATTGTGGCTGTAGGTGGTGAAGTCATCAGATTCTCAATACATTTTGAAAGTAGAAACAGCAGGACTTCCTGATGGATTGCATAATGGGAATAAAACAGGAGACAAGGATGAAGCCAAGGTTTTGGGCTGAGCAATTGGACAGATACAAAATTATTTTTAAATCAGAGGAAGAAAGTAAGGGCAAAACATGCTTAGAAGGGAAGGTCAAAAGATCAGTGAATTTGTTAAGTTGTAATATTATAAGACATTAAGTGAGATGTTTGAGTGGTCATGAAACTAGGTGAGATATTAATGAAGAGACTATGGTTATAAGAGGTCAAGAAAGAGCTGAACCCTGGGCCTTTTAGTAAAGGCAGCTTAGAAGTTTTCAGTGAGGTAGGCAGAAACGAGATGTGACCAAATGAAGAAAAGTATTTCCAACAAGAAGGCTTGGTCAGCTGTATTGAATGCTGCTGAGTCTGTAAGTAAGATGACTGGTAATTGATAGTTGGATTTCATAACATGGAAGTCACTGGTTTCTGACAGAAGCAGTATTGATGGAGTAGGGGGAGAAAACCTGATTGCAGTGTGTATGAGAGAGAATGGAAAGAGAGGTCTTGTTGATCATATGTATGAACAACGTTCAGTAGCTGAGTTGGGGAAAGGGAGCATGAAAGTTTTATTATCCCCTCCCCTGATATACAGAAGTAGCAACATTGATTTTATGGTGATGAAGATGATCCAATAAAAGGAAAGGAATGGAACCTCAGTTCTGTGGTTAGTTATTGTAGTCACTCTTACACATGCTGTTAGCTTCATTGCCCCCTCTTGCTTTGTCATGGCTGTCTGGCAAAACCATGGACTTGGTGACATGTAACCCTTCTGCTTCTAGGTGCTTGCCTGGTCTTTCTATTACACCATATGTACTGAACACTTTTAAACTTTCACAACACAAAGGTTTTTCCTTTACTCTGAAGTACTCTGGCCTCAGGCTTCAGCAGTAAAAAGCAGTGTGTGAGGAACACATTGGTTAGCCCTAGGATTATAGGGTTGAGAGCTGGCCTTTTTTGTAGGGGACACTTAAGTCCCACAAAACAGAATTCTTTGTGCTAGTCAGTTTCTTCAGTGAAGATTATTTGCCAGAGGTTCAGTACCTCATTGTTGAGTATTTTCTACAATAGTAGGGCATGGAGATGTTGAGGAGGTAGGAAGTTATTAGCAATTAAGATGTTTTAGTTAGCTTTGTCATTTCTGAGTGTTTGGGATCCCAGTTTCCTAGGTTCTTCTGGGCTGAGTCCATTTCCTTTTTTACCCTTGTTTTCTATTTTGTCACTATAGGTTTAAATATAACTTTATTTCTTTACTGTCTGCTTTGATCCAGTCCTGGGAGGGAGAGGAGAAAAATGCCTCTGGTTAAGTATTTTATTGTGAAATTTGAGTCATTTCTTAAGTGTTGAAATGGATTTGACTATGATATAAGCACCCAACATTAATTTTTTCTACTGTAGTGATATTTACAGTGAGAACTAGGCATGATTATACATGCCTATAATGCCTTTTCTTGGGAGGCTCAGATAGGAGGATTGTGAGTTTGAGGTCAGCTTGAGCTACATATAGAGTTGAAATCCATTCTGGGCTACATAGACTTTTGTCTAAAAACAAAAAAAAACATGTACAAGATTCACAGCTAACCTTTTCATGAGATGCACTGTTATTGTAGTTTTAGAGAAATTTATATACTCAAAAAGTAGAAAAGACTTAACTTTCTGTTTATGCAGCAGTAGTGTTTTTGAAAACACAAGAGTTTTTTTCTCTTCTCTTTGGATATATTATGATTCTTAATTAATTTGAAAATTGGAAAAGGTACTTTGACTTTATAATCATTTAAAAAATAAGTCAATTAATGAAAAGACTAGTTAGCAGTTTTAAATTTATCATTTTATATAGTCATATTTCTTTTTTTGAGATGAGAAAAATGAAAAATAATTTTTGTGTTATATTCAGTAGTTTGTTGTTGAAGAAAAGCACTCAGAATACTTGAATCTTCTAAATCTACAAGTGAAACAATTTGAAACCTGTTTTTTGCATGTTTGTTTACCTTTAAATATAACATTACTAAATATTACATAAATGTGATTAACTTGTTAGATTAGCATTGATTGTTTCCTTTTCTAGTGATATTAGAATTATGCTTCAGTACACATTGGTATGTAAAATTAAATGATATTCAGGGTATTTTTGGGTGAATAATTTTAAAGTAAATCTGAAAAATTAGAAAAACTTAGTGAATCAAGATGTAAGCTTGATAAAGTATATAATACTGTGTACACATGTATGTAAATGGAAAAATGATCTCTGTTAAAACTGTTCCAGGAATGGAGGGAGGATGGGATGAAGGAGAGTGATGGAGGGAGATGAGAGAATTTTTGTAAATGACACAATGTACCCCCACCCAGCACAATAAAAAATATTTTCCAAAGATGAAAGCATTAAATATGATAGTGTTACAGAAGCTTTTTATTCTTTTAAAACAATTTACTGTTTATTAAGAATGTTTTTATATAGAAATAATCAAACATATTTACCAGCATTGGCTACTGTGTGAATGGTGGGCAATAAATTTATTAATCACAGGTTGCTATGGTTAGTTTGATTATTTTAAAGAGGACTATTAGAACTGTCTCAAAGGAAATCTTAACACTGTGATCATATACTGTTACGTTTTTTTTGTTGTTTTTTTAAATTCATTTATTCACATGTGCATACATTGTCTGGGCCATTTCTTCCCCCTGCCTCCTGCCCCCTCCCTTCCCCCTTACCCCTCCTTGCTTCCAGGCAAAATCTGTTTTGCCCTTATCTCCAGTTTTGTTACAGAAAAAGTATAAGCAATAATAAGAAAGATAAAGCGTTTTTGCTAGTTGAGATAAGGATAGCTAACAGAGAGATTCCTAGCATTTCTTCCATGTACAAATGTGTTACATCCCAAGTTGATTCATCTCTAACTGACCTTTTCACTAGTTCTTGATCCCCTTCTCATATTGACCTCTGTCACTTTAAGGTTTCTGTATTAGTTCCTCTGCAGTGGGGACATCAAATACTATCATGTTTTGGGTTTCTTACCTATCCCCATACCTCCCATGTGTGCTTTCCCCTTATCATGTGACCCAGGTTCAACCACATTGCTGTATTTGCCCTTGCTCTGAAGTCCACATATGAGGGAGAACATACGATTTTTGGTTTTCTGAGCCTGGCTAACCTTGCTCAGAATGATGTTCTCGAGTTCCATCCATTTACTTGAGAATGACAAGATTTCATTCTTCATGGCTGAGTAAAATTCCATTGTGTATGAGTACCACATTTTCTTAATCCATTCGTCAGTAGTGGGTCATCTTGGCTGTTTCCATAACTTGGCTGTTGTGAATAGCGCTGCAATAAACATGGGTATGAAAGTGCTTCTGGAGTAACCTGTGTCGTATTTCTTTGGATATATCTCCAGGAGTGGGATTGCTGGATCATATGGCAGATACATGTTTAGATTTTTAAGAAGCCTCTAAATTTTTTTCCAGAGAGGTTGCACTCGTTTGCATTCCCACCAGCAGTGTACGAAGGTTCCTTTTCCCCCACATCCTGGCTAACACCTGTTGTTAGTGGTGTTTTTATGATGGCTATTCTAACAGGGGTGAGGTGGAATCTTAGTGTGGTTTTGATTTGAATTTCCTTTATGGCTAGAGAATGTGAGCATTTTTTCTTGCATTTTTGGCCATTTGAATTTGTTCTTTTGAGAAAGTTCTGTTTAGTTCAGTTGCCCATTTCCTTATTGGTTCATTGAATTTGGGAGAATTCAGTTTTTTGAGTTCCCTATATATTCTGGTTATTAGTCCTTAGACTGATGTATACCTGGCAAATATTTTCTCCAACTCTGTGGGTGGTGTCTTAAGTTTAGAAACCATTTCTTTGGTTGTACAGAAGCTTTTTAGTTTTATGAAGTCCCATTTGTCCATACTTTCTCCTAGTTGCTGAAATGCTGGGGTTCTATTGAGGAAGTCCTTACCTATACCTATTGCTTCCTGAGTATTCCCTGCTCTTTTCTGTACAAACTTCAGAGTTTTGGGTCTGATATGAAGGTCCTTGATCCATTTTCAGTTGATACTAGTACAGGGTGATAAACATGGATCTAGTTTCAGTAATTTGCAGACTGCTAACCAGTTTTCCCACAGTTTTTGTTGAAGAGGCTGTCTTTTCTCCATTGTATATTTTTAGCACTCTTGTCAAAAATAAGGTGGCCATAGCTGTGTGGATTCATATCCAGGTCCTCTGTTCTGTTCCACTGGTCTTCATGTCTGTTTTTGTGCCAATGCTATGCTGTTTTTTTATTGCTATTGCTTTGTAATATAGTTTGAAGTCAGGTATTGTGATACCTCTAGCACTGCTCTTTTTGCTGAGTATTGCCTTGGCTATTTGTGGTTTTTTTTTTTGTGTGTGTTTCCAAATGAATTTTAGGGTAGGTTTTTCAATCTCTGTGATGAATGTCATTGGGATTTTGATGGGAATTGCCTTAAACATGTAGATTGCTTTTGGTAGTATAGCCATTTTTACTATGTTGATTGTACCAATCCAAGAGCACAGGAGATCTCTTCACCTTCTGTAGTCTTCCTCAGTCTCTTTCTTTGGGGGTTTGTAATTATCCTTGTAGAGGTCACTCACATCCTTTTTTAAGTTTACTCCTAGGTATTTGATTTTTTTGAGGCTGTTGTAATTGGAATTGTTTCCATATATTCTTTCTCAATTTGTTCATTGTTGGTGTATAGAAAAGCTAATGATTTTTGCAAGTTGATTTTGTATCCTGCCACCTTGCTGAAGCTGTTTTTGATGTCTAGGAGTTTCTGGGTAGAGTTTTTTGGGTCTTTAAGGTATAGGATCATATCAGCTGCAAATAGGGGTGTTTTTACAGTTTCTTTACCTATTTGTATTCTTTTATTTCTTCTTCTTGCTGATTACTCTGGCTAGGAACTCCAGTACTATGTTGAATAGGAGTGGGGATAGTGTGCACCTTTGTCTCGTTCCTGATTTTAGGGGAAATGATTTCAGTTTTTCACCGTTTAAGTATGATGTTGCCTGTAGGTTTGTCTTATATAGCCTTTATATTATTGAGGTACTGTCCTTCTAGTCCTAGTTTTCTTAGAGCTTTTATCATGAAGTGATGTCAGATCTTGTTGAAGGCTTTTTTTGCATCTATTGAGATGATCAAGTGGTTTTTGTCTTTGCTTCTGTTGATATGCTGTATTACATTTATAGATTTATGTATGTTGAACCACCTCTGCATCCCTGGGATGAAGCCGACTTGGTCATGGTGAATGATCTTTCTGATGTGTTGTTGGATTCAGTTTGCCATTATTTTATTGAGGATTTTTGCATCGATACTCATTGAGGAGATTGGCCTATAGTTCTCCTTTGTGGAGGTGTCCTTGTCTGGTTTTGGGATGAGTGTAAAACGGGCTTCATAAAATGAGTTAATTGTCTGGTACACTCAAAGCACCCTGCCCTCTTTGCTGCATGTCCTTTTCAGTTCCTTGTTTATTATTCAGTTTTGTTTTTGTTTTTTTTTTGCAGGGCCTGGGGGTCCATCTGTCCAGGGGGCTATGCTGGTTTATCCCAGAGGTGGCTATGGGAGTAGCATGCTGCTTATTTGCTCACCTGTTGGTCTGCATCACCCAGGCAGGTTTGGAGCCAGCGTCTGGTGGTGCAGGAGCCCTCCTGTTTTCGTAGTGTAACATTGTGTGGAGAAGCTTTGTATGGGCTGGGGGCTTGGGCTGTCAGATTTTGCTTCTTCTTGGCGGTTTTTCTCTGTCAAGTGTGGCTCCAGCATCTCAGCAAGATTTTTGATTTATGGAGCTTATGCTGTCTGCTTCCTCCCTCTAGTCAGCATCTTGGATTCTCTCAAATGTTCGGTTTTTGTACTTCTGTAGCTCCAGGATTTTGATTGTCTAGTTCATTTTAGATATTTTAAGTTACACATTGCACACTGAAGTGACCTGCCAGAAGCATGTGAGGCTCATTCTGTTTTTATCAGTGTTATTTTGTGTTGCCTGTAATGAAAACTATCAGTTATATGACTTTTGTAACATATATAGAAAACAGAATTGTGTGTTTTAATATTATGTCTTTCTTCTAGATTATCTGCAATGGTGAAATGAAGTAACTCAAGATGAGCAAGTTAAAAGTGGTATCAGAGAAAAGGTATTGTAATTCTACACATTGATATATATAAATTATAGAAGTAGTACATGACACAATTACTTGAAGCTGATTACCTTAAAATATGATTAATAGTATGCTATACATTTATTTTATTAATATTTAATTTTTCAGTTAAAGTAGGAGTTAGCAACCATGACCCCTGGGTTAAATCTGGTCTCCTTCCCATTTTTGTGTGGCTGTTGAGCTAAGAATGGTTTTTACACTTTTAAATTGTTAAAAAAATTAAAATAATGTTTTGTGATGCATGAAAACTATATGAAACTCAAATTTTAGTGCATGCATTATAAATTGTTTTTTATAATTTTTATTTTTTTTATTATTCATATGTGCATACAATGCTTGGGTCATTTCTCCCCCCTGCCCCCACCCCCTCCCTTACCACCCACTCGCCCCCGCCCTCTCCCCCACCCCTCAATACCAGCAGAAACTATTTTGCCCTTATCTCTAATTTTGTTGAAGAGAGAGTATAAGCAATAATAGGAAGGAACAAGGGGTTTTACTAGTTGAGATAAGGATAGCTATACAGGGAGTTGACTCACATTAATTTCCTGTGCATGTGTGTTACCTTCTAGGTTAATATCTTTTTGATCTAATCTTTTCTCTAGTTCCTGGTCCCCTTTTCCTATTGGCCTCAGTTGCTTTTAAGGTATCTGCTTTAGTTTCTCTGCGTTGAGGGCAACAAATGCTAGCTAATTTTTTAGGTGTCTTACCTATCCTCACCCTCCCTTGTGTGCTCTCGCTTTTATCATGTGCTCAAAGTCCAATCCCCTTGTTGTGTTTGCCCTTGATATAAAGTCCACATATGAGAGAGAACATACGATTTTTGGTCTTTTGGGCCAGGCTAACCTCACTCAGAAGGATGTTCTCCAATTCCATCCATTTACCAGCAAATAATAACATTTCGTTCTTCTTCATGGCTGCATAAAATTCCATTGTGTATAGATACCACATTTTCTTAATCCATTCGTCAGTGGTGGGCATCTTGGCTGTTTCCATAACTTGGCTATTGTGAATAGTGCCGCAATAAACATGGGTGTGCAGGTGCCTCTGGAGTAACCTGTGTCACAGTCTTTGGGTATATCGCCAAGAGTGGTATTGCTAGATCAAATGGTAGATCAATGTTTAGCTTTTTGAGTAGCCTCCAAATTTTTTTCCAGAGTGGTTGTACTAGTTACATTCCCACCAACAGTGTAAGAGGTTCCTTTTTCCCGCATCCTCCAACACCTGTTGTTGTGGTGTTGCTATGATGGCTATTCTAACAGGGGTGAGGTGGAATCTTAGTGTGGTTTTAATTTGCATTTCCTTTATTGCTAGAGATGGTGAGCATTTTTTCATGTGTTTTTTGGCCATTTGAATTTCTTCTTTTGAGAAAGTTCTGTTTAGTTCACTTGCCCATTTCTTTATTGGTTCATTAGTTTTGGGAGAATTTAGTTTTTTAAGTTCCCTATATATTCTGGTTATCAGTCCTTTGTCTGATGTGTAGCTGGCAAATATTTTCTCCCACTCTGTGGGTGTTCTCTTCAGTTTAGAGACCATTTCTTTTGATGAACAGAAGCTTTTTAGTTTTATGAGTCCCATTTATCTATGCTATCTCTTAGTTGCTGTGCTGCTGGGGTTCCATTGAGAAAGTTCTTACCTATACCTACTAACTCCAGAGTATTTCCTACTCTTTCCTGTATCAACTTTAGAGTTTGTGGTCTGATATTAAGATCCTTGATCCATTTTGAGTTAATATTGGTATAGGGTGATATACATGGATCTAGTTTCAGTTTTTTGCAGACTGCTAACCAGTTTTCCCAGCAGTTTTTGTTGAAGAGGCTGCTATTTCTCCATCGTATGTTTTTAGCTCCTTTGTCAAAGACAAGTTGGTTATAGTTGTGTGGCTTCATATCTGGGTCCTCTATTCTGTTCCACTGGTCTTCATGTCTGTTTTTGTGCCAGTACCATGCTGTTTTTATTGTTATTGCTTTGTAATATAGTTTGAAGTCAGGTATTGTGATACCTCCAGCATTGTTCTTTTGACTGAGTATTGCCTTGGCTATTCGTGGCCTCTTGTGTTTACATATAAATTTCACAGTAGATTTTTCAATCTCTTTAATGAATGTCATTGGAATTTTGATGGGAATTGCATTAAACATGTAGATTACTTTTGGGAGTATCGACATTTTTACTATGTTGATTCTACCAATCCATGAGCATGGGAGATCTCTCCACTTCTATAGTCTTCCTCAATCTCTTTCTTCAGAAGTTATAGTTTTCCTTGTAGAGGTCTTTCACATCTTTGTTAGGTTTACACCTAGGTATTTGATTTTTTTGAGGCTATTGTAAATGGAATTGTTTTCATACATTCTTTTTCAGTTTGGTCATTGTTAGTGTATAGAAATGCTAATGATTTTTCTATGTTGATTTTATATCCTGCTACCTTGCTATAGCTATTGATGGTGTCTAGGAGCTTCTGAGTAGAGTTTTTTGGGTCTTTAAGGTATAGGATCATGTCTGCAAATAGGGTATTTTGACAGTTTCTTTACCTATTTGTATTCCTTTTATTCCTTCTTCTTGCCTAATTGCTCTGGCTAGGAATTCCAGTACTATGTTGAATAGGAGTGGAGATAGTGGGCATCCTTGTCTGGTTCCTGATTTTAGAGGGAATGGTTTCCGTTTTTCTCCATTAAGTATAATGCTGGCTGTAGGTTTGTCATATATAGCTTTTATAATGTTGAGATACTTGCCTTTTCCTAGTTTTCTTAGAGCTTTTATCATGAAATGGTGTTGGAGCTTATCAAAGTCTTTTTCTGCATCTATTGAGATGATCAAGTGGTTTTTGTCTTTGCTTCTGTTAATGTGGTTTATTACGTTTATTGATTTTCATATGTTGAACCACCCCTGCATTCTTGGGATGAAGCCTACTTGGTCGTGGTGAATAATCTTTTTGATGTGTTGTTGAATTCATTTGCCATTATTTTATTGAGGATTTTTGCATCAATGTTCGTTAAGGAGATTGGCCTATAGTTCTCCTTTTTGGAGGTGTCTTTGCCTGGTTTTGGGATAAGTGTCATACTGGCTTCATAAAATGTGTTAGGCAGTTTTCCTTCCCTTTCTATTTCGTGGAACAGTTTAAGGAGGGTTGGTATCAGTTCTTCTTCAAAGTTCTGATAGAATTCAGCAGGGAATTCTCTTGTTTGCTGCTTCAATTTCATTTTGTGATATAGATGTATTCAGGTGATTAATATCCTCTGGGTTCAGTTTTGGATGATCATATGTATCTAGAAATCTGTCCATTTCTTTTAGATTTTCAAATTTATTTGAATATAGGTTCTCAAAGTAGTCTCTGATGATTTCCTGGACTTCCATGGTGTTTGTTGTTATCTCCCCTTTTGCATTCCTGATTCTACTAATTTGGTTTTTTTCTTTCCTCATTTTAGTCAGGTTTGCCAGAGGTCTGTCGATCTTGTTTATTTTTTCAAAGAACCAACTTTTTGTTTCATTAATTCTTTGTATGGTTTTTTTGGTTTCTATTTCGTTGATTTCAGCTCTTATTTTTATTATTTCTCTCCTTCTATTTGTTTTGGGATTTGCTTTTCTTGTTTTTCTAGGAGTTTGAGATGTATCATTAGGTCATTGATTTGGGATCTTTCAGTCTTTTTAATATATGCACTCATGGCTATAAACTTTCCTCTCAGGACTGCCTTTGCTGTGTCCCATAGGTTCCAGTAGGTTGTGTTTTCATTTTCATTGACTTCCAGGAACTTTTTAATTTCCTCTTTTATTTCATCAATGATCCATTGTTCATTAAGTAATGAGTTATTCAGTTTCCAGCTGTTTGCATGTTTTTGTCTTTACTTTTGTTGTTGAGTTCTAGTTTTATTGCATTGTGATCAGATAGTATGCATGGTATAATTTCTATTTTCTTATATTTGCTGAGGCTTGCTTTGTGCCCTAGGATATGATCTATTTTGGAGAAGGTTCCATGGGCTGCTGAGAAGAATGTATATTGTGTAGAAGTTGGATGAAATGTTCTGTAGACATCAAGTAGGTCCATTTGATCTATTGTATATTTTAGATCTTGGATTTCTTTATTGATTTTTTGTTTGGATGACCTATCTGTTGATGATAATGGGGTGTTAAAGTTTCCCACAACCACTGTGTTGGAGTTAATATATGCTTTTCAGCCTTTCAGGGTATGTTTGATGAAATTGGGTGCGTTGACATTGGCTGCATATAGGTTGATAATTGTTATTTCCTTTTGGTCTATTTCCCCTTTTATTAGTATAGAATGTCCTTCTTTATCTCATTTGATCAATGTAGGTTTGAAGTCTACTTTGTCAGAGATAAGTATTGCTACTCCTGCCTGTTTTCAGGGATCGTTGGCTTGGTAAATCTTCTTCCAGCCTTTCATCCTAAGCCTATGTTTATTTCTGTCAGTGAGATGGGTCTCCTGTAATCAACAAATTGTTGGCTCTTCCTTTTTAATCCATTTCATCAAACGGTGCCTTTTTGTGTGAATTAAGTCCGTTAACATTAAGTGTTAGTACTGATAGGTATGTGTGATTCCTGTCATTTAGTTGTCTTAGTTGTTTGAAGGTTTGATTGTGTGTACCTAAGTTGAGGTTACTCTCTACTTTCTTGCTTTTTCTTTTCCTGTAGTTTGGTGCTGCCCGTCCTTTTATGGTTATGTTGGGTTTCACTTTCTGTGTGCAGAATCCCTTGAAGAATCTTTTGTAGTGGTGGCTTTGTGGTCACATATTGTTTTAGTTTCTGCTTATCATGGAAGACTTTTATTGCTCCATCTGTTTTGAATGATAGTTTTGCTGGGTAGAGTATCCTGGGGTTGAAGTTATTTTCATTCAGTGCCTGGAAGATCTCACCCCATGCTCTTCTTGCCTTTAATGTTTCTGTTGAGAAGTCTGATGTGATTTTGATGGGTTTACCCATCATTCTTTTACCCCATCATTCTTTTTCTGAGGTTTTCCATATCCTGG